CAAAACGAACCAGAATTTATTGCTTTCGTACATGTGCAGGTCTTGGCATATGTGGACGTCTTATGAAGTTTTGTGTCCTGGAATTTGTTTAGCCCTGGCATGTGGGTCCCAGGAGCCAGGTTTCAGCTGAGTCAGGGCTCCAAGTTGTGGCAGCCAAGACCAGACTTTGTAGTAGCATGTTTACCTCCTCTTGTCATGGACTGTTCCTCTTTCTTCATGGTTTGTGACCAGAGAGGAAGGAGGCCCTGAGGAAACTAGACAGTTGGTGGACTTTGCCTCTTGAGATAATGGTGTGGCAAGGGCATTGTGCAGATGGCTTCTTGCATTCAGATACCCGGCTCTAAACTGACTCTGTTGTCCATGAAGTGCCTGGTTCAGAGGATAAAGTTGGCTAAGACTCCACTTTCAGCCCACAGGTACTGCTTTTCCTTAAATTCTGCTTTTAAGCTGCTGTTGCAGGTGGTTTAGTTGTCTGGCCTGGTCAGCAGCCAACTAGGCTCTCCTGTCCTTGGAGGCCCAAGCACTCAAGAGTGAGGTTTGGGGAGTAGTTGTAGCAAATACAACTACATGAGGCCCACCAGACTCCATATTTGGAGTCCCATATTTGGATACTAGTGTTTGGGGCAATGTAGAAATGAAGGTCCCCTGCAGTCCCCAGGGCTGTCTGCTCATCTGGGTGGGGCCAGTGGGTTTTAGTATTCACTGGGTTCCTAAGAGTAGGGCTTCCTGGCATTAGGTCTGGGACCAGATAAGTTTAGGTTCCTTTCAGCAGTCAGCATTCTTTGCTGAGGGGACAGGCCTGCCAAGGGAAGAGCAGCTGTTCACACTGCCCTTCCTTCTCTGTGTGGGTCAGGGTGTGCCAGGTATTCAGAGACCCTTGTCTCATGCAGCTATTTATGCCGATTACAGGAGGCACTGGATGCCCTCATTTCTTTCTCCAAATGCTTGGAATAGTGTTTGCATCACATTGAGGAGAGTTCTGCTGAATGAATTCAGGTATTTGTTGCCAACTTAGTGCAGATAAAGGTTTGGCCTGCTTTTGAACACTGTTTCTCTACATTTTCTTTGTAGTTCGGCATTTTTGTAACTGGCATAGGCTACCAGGTGGCTTATGCTTCCAAAGACACTTCATAATGTTTATTGAATTTCATTTCTGCCTTGGGATAGATAGTGTTCACAACCTGGAAAAGACATTTTATATCTGTGTGCTTCAGTTCAACAGATGGAAACACCACTATAGAAGGTGCTATGGGGCTGGAAAGGTGGCTCAGCAGTTAAGAGCACTGACTGTTCTTCCAGAGGACCTGGATTCAATTCCCAGCACTTACATGATGGCTCACTACTGTCTGTAACTCCAGTTTCAGTGGTTCTGACACCGTCACACCAATGCACATAAATTAAAAAAAAAAAAAAAAAAAAAAAAGAAAGAAAAAAAAGTGCTGTGGCATATTGTGCATCCTGGGACTTGTGAGTGGCTTTTTTGTTGTTGGTTTTGAGACAGGGTTTTGTGTTGCCCAGGTTAGCCCCAAACTTACCATGTAGCCTAGGATAACCTTGAACTCTTGATTATTTTGCCTTTACCTCCCAGGTACTGGGATTCCAGTCTTGTACCACCGGGCCTGGCTTTCCAGGTGGTTTTCTTTGGCGAGGAGACCTTACCATTTAGCTAAGGGCACAGAGCTTAGCTTGGTTTAGGGGAAACTCCTTCCTTTGGTAGAGCAATCCGTGTTGGAACTTAGTGCCCTGAGGCTTGTCTTCTTCCCCACACACAGTACACTCTGTGTGTTAGGAGCCTCTGCTGGGACTGCTGTCCAGAAGAGAGGAGAGTGCCACCATCTCCTTTTTCCCCTGCTTGATGACCTTTTACATGGAATTAAAAATAGGTCAGAATGTGTCTCCAGAGGGGAAAAATGCTATCAGGAGACCTAAGCCTGTCAAGTGACTTTTGTTTAACCCTAAAGTAGACCCTTTCTTGGGTTGCCTTCTGACTTGAGGAAGTAAGAACTTGGTGGAGGGTGTGAGGGAGAGAAAGGAAAGCAGGAGAGTCCATTGGCCGCCGCTGCTCTACTTTGTTCTTGGCCGTGAGGATTCCTATACAGTCTTAACAGGAATGTTTCTTCTGTGGGCCTCCCGAGCACTGGGAGTTTACAACTGGAGTTTAGCTCTGAGCCTCCTTACCTCTATCACTGAGGATATTTCATTAGAAACTAACCTCACTAGTAAAAGAATATAGCCATCGGGGGACCTAGAAGAAGCAATCCATTTGTTTTGAAACAAACAGACTGTCCTGAACTTGTGGCAACCCTCCTACCTCAGTGTCCTAAGTGCTGGTATTGCAGGTGTGAGCTGCGCACTTGCACTTTTTGGTGGCTCTTACTAGAGCATGCTCATTCTGGCTTTCCCCCTCTCAGCTCTTGTGTGTAGTTTTTTAATTCATTTAATTACCTCCTTTTCCTTTTAATCCATTTTCTTATTTATTAAGACAGGAACTCACTATGTAGGCCTGCTTGCCTGAAACCCTGTCTGTAGACCAGGCTGACCTCCAGCTCACAGAGCTTTGTCCACTCCTGCCTCCTGGGTACTGGGGCTACAGATGTGCACCCCTAGAGCTTGCTAATCTGTCTTCTAAACATCCAGTGTAAAGGTACTCTATTAGTGCTTGCTGTTTGAATATCGAGGTATTATATTCTGAGCTTACTGTATGCATATCTGCCCATCTGGCATTCCTACATATTTATCTTTTGTCTGTCTCCGTGTGCGGTCATCTTGTTAAGATTTTCATAGGTATCCCACCCTCACCACAGTTCCGTGGTGTGGGTGATAGCCCTATTTTATAGATGCTGACATGGACCTAAAAGACAATTGGTTCAGTATCACTTAGTAGGTGGCAGGGCCAGGGTTCAAATCCAGGCCTGTCTTACTCTGAAACTGGGTTTAGTTTTCCAAAGAGCCACTCTATTGTCTATAGCTCAAAAGTAGCAGATATAACGTAGGTCCTTTGGCCTCCTTCCTTTCTGGTTAACTGTCTGAGCTGTTTTGTGCCAGCTTGAGCAGTGTGCTGACTGTACTTTCATTCTACTTAAAGAAACGCATTCTGCTGTCCATATATAAAGGCTAAGAACGGAAGAAAAAAAAAGTTTTGTTTTGTTTTTTGTTTTGTTTTGTTTTTAATTTGCTGCTGTCTCTTGGGACTATGTGGCAGATCTCTCAGGAAAGACACTTGGGGCTTAATAGGAAAGCAGTTAAAGGTAACCCCAGATTCCTGTCCGCATGGCTGTTTTCTGAACTGTGGAACTGAGACTGCTGCAGATAACACTGCTGCTAGCTTCTCCTGCTTTCATTCAGTGCAGGGTGTGTGTGTGTGTGTGTGTGTGTGTGTGTGTGTGTGTGTGGGGGTGTCCACATGTACAAAATTTTCTGTGAATCTATAGATGAAATCTAGCTAATGTTCCAAGTTTGCAAGAGTCCCGGCCCTCCTGGGAGGAAGAAATTCTTAGCACTCAATTGGAAGAGAAATGGCCCTTTAGGTTTCTAGGTATGCATCCTGGAGCTTTTGAGCTTGGGAAAGAGCTAGGGCGTGTTAACCCCACATCCTTTGTAAGTCGTGCTGCTTTGATTTCCTGAGGAGATACAGGGAGAAGACTCTGAAGACAAAGCTACAATGCGTTTCCTGTTCATTGTCTCATGAGTGTATCTGATCACAAGGCTCATGTCACTCACAGGAACTGTTAACAGTCATGTTTATTTTTTTGAGGGCTTGACCTTAGCCCCTGTATCTTTTAGTTCATCTTTCACCTTTTGTCGGGTCTCCTCCTTTGAAATGATGGTGATTTGGAAGATAGAGCTCCTAGGAGTGAGTCAGATGACTTTAGACACGTTCGGGGTGGTGTGGCTATGGCTGAACTGCCTGTCTGTAAAAGGATCTCAGTGCCAAATGTCTTCAGAGTCACCATGTTCAAGTGGAAGGCGGTCTTAAAGTCTTCAGTTCCTGCTGAGAAGTTTGGGAAGGGGGTTTTACGGAAGACTGGGAAGTCTCATTGTGTGTGTCGGCTAAAAGAACCTGATTGTTCTCAGGATGCATGAGTATTCGTCTCTTGGGACTGAGGATGGTATATATATCTGTGGAAAGATGACACTCATTTATAACTTGCCATGAAGAGGACTAGGGGCTGTAGAGGTTTTCCTTTACCCTTGTTCTCAGTCTGGGAAGTGGGAAGGTGGCTTCCTGAGACTTGTGCATCTTGAGGCAGTCTACTGCATGGGATGCAGTGGTCCTTGGTGAGCCTGGCTGGCGTGGGTCTGCTGCTGTTCAGGGACTTCTTGTTTCCTTAACTGCACCAGGCAGCTGCTGAGCTGATGCTTTGGTAGAACCTTTCTCCTGGATGACAGAACGGTGGAGCTGGAGTTTCCAGCCTGTGGGAAGTGAGATAGTTGCGCCAAGGGCTGGGTAGTTGCAGAGCTCCTTCTCCTCTTTTATGAGGCTGTTTTTCTTTGCCACCTAGGAACTTTTTTGAATAAAAATTCTGAAAAAAACAAAAAGTACAACTAGCATATTATTTATAGTAATGAAGAACAACTTTCCTGGACAGACAACCTATTTGGTTTAGACTGAGAAAAACCCACTTGAACTGATTGGAGTTGCTGGTGTCCCTGGATTCAGGAAGGGTTCTCTGAAGGTCTCTTTCTTGAGGAGCTTTGCAGCATTTCAGTCCCTTCACATCATGGACTAGATTCATCTGTCTCCATCTTTTCCAGCAGTCCTGGAACTAATTTTGGGGTGATTGCTGTTTAGTTTCTTTGACATTACTCTCCATATCAGTAGCTATCTGATTCTTGTCTTTGTGTGGACTATTTGGAACCAGGTGCAGAGGGAGTGCCCCTTGTGCTGGAGAGTTACTAGTTGGAATTGCCCTGGAAACACCATGTCTCTGGTGGTTCTGGGGGAATCTCTACTCTCTATATCTTGCCTCTGATGTGCCTTCTCCCGTGTTTGTCCCCAGCCTCAGACTATGGCATGAAACTGCCAATCCTGCGTTCCAACCCGGAGGACCAGATCCTGTATCAAACAGAGCGGTACAATGAGGAGACCTTTGGCTACGAAGTGCCCATAAAGGAGGAGGGGGACTACGTGCTGGTGTTGAAATTTGCTGAGGTCTACTTTGCACAGTCTCAGCAGAAGGTGAGCAGTGCTCAGGCCCCTGCCTGATCACTGGCATATGGCTGCTTTTGAGCAGTTGGGTACTCTGAGGCCAGAGCAGAGGCCTGTGAACCTCCTCAGAAGGGAGGGACAGTGAACTCTGAGGGAGGCTTAGTCCTCCCGTCCTAGAGAAGCCATGTCCCCTTGCCCATTGGCTGTTACTGTTTTGGGTTGGTAACATAATTGGTCTTCTCAGGAGCCTCCTGCTTCCCACCTTGGTACTGCATTCATTCCTTGGTGCTTTCCTGTAAATGCCTCCTTTCTTCTCCGAGGCAGTAAAGGATCCTGGTTTTCTTTTGGCTGAAGTGCAGGACTCTAGACCCCTTTTAGTATATCCAGAACCATAACTTATGAATAATGTCCAACTCCTTGAAGGGATGTGAGGCTTACAGTGTTGACATTGTCTTTTTCCTAACCCTGGAAGGTATTTGATGTCCGATTAAATGGCCATGTTGTGGTGAAGGACTTAGACATATTTGACCGTGTTGGGCACAGTACAGCCCATGATGAGATCATCCCAATGAGCATCAGGAAGGGGAAGCTGAGTGTCCACGGGGAGGTGTCGACCTTCACAGGGAAGCTCTACATTGAGTTTGTCAAGGTAACCATCACCATGCCTCAAATCTGAGGGAGGGGAAGATGTTTGCTGCCATGTGACTGACTGTGCTTTCCCGTTTCCTAGGGGTACTATGACAATCCCAAAGTCTGTGCACTCTACATCATGGCTGGGACAGTGGATGGTAAGTTAGGATTTTTACCTGCTGCTAAAGGATTTGATTGAGATAATTTAGCTGGCCATTGTTTTAGAAATATTAAAAGCCAAATTATAGGGAATTCAGTCAGGTAGATAAGGACAAGGTATAACATGATGCTGGCCACAAGGATTAAGGTCAGATCTGTGTTTATACCTCCTCCTTCTGTTTAATCAACAGTTGGTCTTTGACAAAACCTCCCTTGTGATCTAGTCTCTCTAGTACTGGAACTCGTTAAGTAGACAAAGCTGTCCTTGACTCAGAGATTCTCCTGCCTCAGTCTCCCAGATGAGCCACCACACCTGAGCTTTGACACTTTTTTTTTCTTTTTTTTTTTTGGTTTTTCAAGACAGGGTTTCTCTGTATTGTTTTGGAGGATGTCTTGGAACTCTCTCTGTAGACCAGTTTGGCCTCGAACTCACAGAGATCTGCCTGCCTCTGCTTCCTGAGTGCTGGAATTAAAGGCGAGCACCACCAATGCCCAGCCTTTGATACATTCTTCTTTCTTTCTTTCTTTCTTTCTTTCTTTCTTTCTTTCTTTTTTTTAAGACTTTATTTATTTATTTATTATGTATGCAACCTTCTGCTTCCATGTATATCTGCACACCAGAAGAGGGCACCAGATCTCACTACAGATGGTTGTGAGCCACCATGTGGTTGCTGGGAATTGAACTCAGGACCTCTGGAAGAGCAGTCGGTGCTCTTAACCTCTGAGCCATCTCTCCAGCCCCTTTGATACATTCTTAACTGCTGTATGATGGCCTGTGTTTGATCTCTAAGACCCACATGGTAGAAGAGAACTGATTCCTACAAGTTGTCCTCTGGCCTCCATGGCGCAGGCATACAGACACACACAAAGAGAAAATAACACAGAGAAATTACCTGAAATGTGTCTGAGTTCCATTTTTCAATTTGGGGGTGGACTCTAGTTCTTTGGGGAAAAAGATAAAATAGGAGTCCCCTTGGGTGTTGGTAGGTATTGCTACACTACACTTAGATAAAGTTAATTTGTTAATGTCTTCTTGGCCATGGAGCTCAGCCTCTGTATATTATATGCTCAGGGTTTGGGTTACCCTGGCTGCCAGCCTCTTGGGCTGATTTTTGCAGAGAAAGCTTGTACCTTACTCATTTTTCTTCCCCATCTTTTCTCTGTGCAATTTCTCATCCTGAATGCATAGAAAAAATCTCCTTTTTTTAAGACTTATTTATTTTATGTGTTTTTTTCCTCTGTGTGTGTTGTGTGTGTGTGTGTGTGTTATGTGTCACATGTGTGCAATGCTCTTGGAGCTCAGAAAAGAAACTGGAGTTGTAGTTATGCATGGCTGTGAGCCACCCTGTAGTGCTGGGAACTAAATTCCGATCTTCTGCAAGAGGAACTAGTGCTCTTAACCATGGAGCTGTCCCTTTAGCACTCCCCCCACCAACCCCAGCTCAGTGCTAGTGTGACTTTTAGGAAGGTGATAGTTTACCCCAGTTCCACTTGATTTCATTAGGAGGAGTTGGGACAGGTGTAGTGAGGCTGGAGCCAGATCCTTGAGGATCGGCCCTTCAATGTCTGAATCAAAAGGAATGTGATGTGAGCACAGAGAAGGAAGAAGAAGGCTTAAAATAACTTAGGTGCGGGTCACTGGACCTACCTGCGGTGACCTTGTGGAGCTTTGAAGTGAAACAGGAAAAGGTCCTGTTTTACTTTTTTAGTTAAATCTGAATATAACTATGGTGCCTGTGCTTTGCTATTTAGGTTAGAGACAGTTTCTGCTCCTCCCTAGCAAGGTCCCATGGATTGCTGGACTGTGGCTCATTCACTGCTGTGAATGACCTCAGGTAAGTACTGTGGGTCTTAGTGTACCTAACAGGCATTTTCTTTCTTTTTTTCAGATGTACCAAAGCTGCAGCCTCATCCAGGATTGGAGAAGAAAGAAGAGGAGGAAGAAGAAGAAGAATATGATGAGGGGTCTAATCCCAAAAGACAGACCAACAAAAACAGGGTGCAGTCAGGCCCCCGCACACCAAACCCCTATGCCTCGGACAACAGCAGCCTCATGTTTCCCATCCTGGTGGCCTTTGGAGTGTTCATTCCAACCCTCTTCTGCCTCTGCCGGTTGTGAGAACAAATGGTCATCCGCAGCCGGGTGGAGGGAGGGGGAAAGAAACCAAACGTGTTGGTTTCGGTATTCTTGACAGTGTTCAGCAAAACAAAACAAAACAAAACAAAAAAAATCAAACAACACACACACAAGTGAAAAGAGATAAGAAGAAGCAGAATGGTGGGGGCAGCCCCTACCCACCCACTGGTCCCAGAGCTGCTCAGTCCTGCTCTGCTTGTGGCTGTCCCCCAGCTCTCTTTTTCTCTGGGGTATGGAGGTGAGTGGACCCTTCCTCTCCAAGGATCCATATTACAGACCTAGTAGGAAGGACTCTGAACTCAGAGCAGTGACAGTTGTTTTCAGGTTAGACATTAACGGCAGGAAAATGTCATATAACCTGGAAAGACCCATACTGGGAGTTTGTTGTGTTCTGAATTCATGTCTGATATGATTTCAGAAGTCATGGTATTCAAAGTATGTATGTGGAGGTAAATACGTTGGGTGGTAAAGACAGAGGAAAAGGGGAATAATTGGAAAAAAGAGAGTCAGCGCTTCTGTACTTGGAAGCCCTTCTGGTTAATCTTTTGATGGCTCACCTCGAGTATCTTCATTGTCATTTCTCATCTCTTTGACGTGCACCAGTTAGAGGACTGTCTGGTATCCAAGACAACTAGTGTACGTCAGGTCCTCAAATTGCCTACAACTTGTTGGCCACAACAAATCATTTTGATTTCAGTGCCTGTTGAGGACTTGATTTCTTCTTGATTTTTCTCTTAATCTGGTTCATTTGAAATCTCTTCTCAATTCTCACTCTCAACCATACAGCTAAGTTATTGTCAAAATGGGTAGGAGACCAGAGATGAGAATTCTGTTTGCTTGAGTGTCTTACCCTCTACCACCTCACTTTGTTGGTACCTCCCTCCCTGGATCTCTGAGCCAGCAGCCAGGAGGACCTGACCCAGCAGCTCTCACTGGCCCCTCCATAGGGCCTTGCTGCCAGGTCAGGGATGCTTTCCAGCCTGCAGCAACAGAACACTTGACCTTAAAAGTCTCTTCTGGTCTTTGGATTAGAAAAGGCTTATGTTAGCAACCTCAGAGACTCGAGCCCTGCAAGTGACTGACCACTGTTCAGAATGTCCAGAATTTGGTGTTCATTTATCCCCATGTCCTCTGTCCTACTTCAGATAGTTTGGGTTTATTCCCAGAGTCGCCCCAGAGAACTAACTAAGACTGGCTGCACCAGCCCAGCTGTTTTCCTTATTGACCATGATCAGACAGCCCTCTTAGCCCCTAGCAAGTAGCAGTCAAGTTCTTCTTACACTGGGACAGAAAGACCCCTAGTCAGCCATAGTTCTGGAGGCTCTGAATGTCGTGTAACTTTAGCATCCAAGTGTCTATTTCAGATTCCCAGTAAACACTCTGTAGGGGATGAAGTCTCCTTGTTCCCCAACTTTTGGTCACCTCCATCCCTTTGTCAGTTAAGACAACAGTGAGGGACAACCTGGCTAAGCTAAAAGGCATTTTCTAGGTCAGAGGCAGCAGTATTTGCTTCAGCTTGAGTTGGAGCAGTATAGAATCTCAGGCCAGGCCCATATTTCTAGAATGTGTTTAAATTTTGAGTTTGCCTTATCAGATATTTGAACTCTGTGACAAAGTAAGTAGTTCTGGGCTCATGTCCTGACTTTGGCTCCTATTGATGACTCCAGGCCAGCATTTAGTCATTTGAGAAAGGTCCTTTATTTTCTCTAGATTTAGGCTAGCCCTAGCATACTGAGTTGCCAGCTGGATGGCTGTGACCCGAAGTTGCTATCAGGAGCACTTCCTGGAGTGCTTCTAAAGTTCCTGATCCTCCAGTCTGAGGTACTGCCAAGGTCTTGGAGACCACCTGCCTAGGGCAAGGGATGTTCTGACTAATTGGGCTCCTGACAGTGGCTTTGGTTCCTGGTCCATCACTATTTACAAGCCTGTGAGCCATGTCAGTGGAGTAAACAAGATGAAGGAGAACAGCTGCCTCTGTGTTGCCTTGTTTGCCTGGGTCTCTGAGGAAGGGGAGGGGTCCTGCCTCCTTACCCCAACTCATCCCTTTGGTGACTCAGAGCCTCAGAAGGAAACTCTGACTCCTGGGGCCATTTCCTAATGGTACTGTAAGCCAAGCGCCTCTGCTCTGCCTCTGTTTCCAAGCCCACCCCTTCCCGTAGGGATAGGGACGGGTGCCTTCCTCTCTAGTTGTGTCCAACGGAAGGAACATCTTTCTGTAGCTAACAAAAACTAAAAGGGAAGTGAGGAAACAGCAGGGAAGGAGTATGGTGGGGGCTGGGGTAGATGCCCCTGAGCCAAGCCTGCCCAGCGAATCAGAGCTGCTTAAAGCTGGCGATAGCCAGCTCATAATGTTGAACTTGAAAGCTTTCTCCCTCCTCCAAGATGATGTAGGTACATGAGGTTTAGGTTAAAAGGGTTGGGTGGGGCACACTTTATTTTTATTTTTGTATTGTGTGTGTGTCAAGAATTACTCCATTGTTCATCTTGCTTTTTGCACTCTTTGTTCCCTTTTCTGTGTTTTGAGCTAGTGCAGAGTTTGCCTGGAATTGGAAGCTGTGAATGGTAACAGGCAGGTGGGGAGGAGAGACCCAGGTTTTCTGTCTGAACTACAGTCTGACCCAGCTGGCAGACATAGATAGATAAGGGCATACAGCTCCTTTTTGTCAGAAGGTGGTCCTCTTAAAGTTTGTGGGAGGAGCAAGCAAGGCCGGCTGGGTTGAGTCTGCAAGCCCAGCGTGGTTTAGGTCAGGCCAACTGGCCTCTGACTGGTTTGCTTTGGGTTTTATTCAAGCTATCTTAAACATTGTGCCAATAAGTGATTTGTGGTATTCATATCTCCTAAACCAGATTTATGGTTCTGGAGTGTTTCCACTCCCAAAGACACGATGCTCAGTGGACACTCACAGTTCTGATGGCTTAAAAGGTAGTCTTCAAGTACCTTTGGTATCAGAGGGGTCACCTGTTGATGTGGCCTTGTTTTCTTGCTCCTGCTGACCAGGAGCAAGAGGTCATGTGAGCCTGGATGAGGCGGGGTGAAGTCAGTGTTGTGTCTGATGCCCATCTGTGCCTGGAGCAGTCTAAGAGCTTTGCATTGACTCCTTTGGTTTTGTTGAGAAGCTTCTGTTTTAAGGAATTTCTCTTGTTTGTCCTGTCCCCCCCTCTCTTGCAAAGGCCTGGCCCTGGTCTAGATGCTTAGCTAAGAATCGAGAAAATGGCAGCAGTGTCCCTTTTAGCACTCAGACCCCTTCTCCTTAGAAACTGGCTCATCTTGAGGAATCCAGGGAGGTTCTCCCCCTCCCTGGGAACTGGGGAAGGACCCACCCTGGTCAGCACAGTGCCTTTTCCTCTCCTGCTCTGAGTCAGGTGGGCATCCCTAACCCTCTAGATTGAGGCCTGGGCAGGGGTCGTACAGTCCCTGCCATGGGGCTGTTCCCTATCTCTCCCTCTCCTTGCTGGCCTACTCTGACATAATTCAAGTGTCTTCTTGCCTTGAGGAACCTTAATGTAATCATGGCCACCACATGTGATACTTCTCTATGACTATAAGGACCTAAGAGAGCAGGTGAGCTTTCTCAAATGAGAGACTAACAGATGCTCCTGCTATTAAAAGACAAAGCTAGGGGGGTTACTTTGGGCCTCCTGCTGTGGCCCCTGAGGAAGGCAACTCTCAGGTAAGACTGAGAATATACAGGAGCAAAACCACAGACACCCAGGACCTGCTCAGAGATCCGCAGAAGAACTCGGTCTCTCTTCTAGGGAGGATGTAATTAGGGATCAAAGTGTGCTAAGAAAATTGCAAAGAAGCTTTACTGCCCACACCAGAAAGCTCAGGGTGGCTTTCTCTTCCAAGTAGAGCTAAAACTATGTGTGTTTGGACTTCTCCTGGGGTGAGGGTTAGCTTTGTTCATGACAATAGAAGAGTAGCTTAGCACTGGTGGTCAGTTGTCCAGGGAGGCTGGGTTACTTTGTACGTTTGTGGCTTGCTGCCGATCTGGTCTATCCTTCCCCATTTGCCTCATTTGCTCTGGGTGTGAGACATCTTGATAAGAGCAGATTTGGGGGCTGGCTGGGTTGGCAGGAAAAGAGCAGAGTGGATCTCTAGGGATGGGTTCCTCCCAGGAATGTAAAAACAAGGGGCCGTGATTGTGCTGGCAGCCAGGGAAACAGTAGTGCCTGCTGAAGTTGGCAGAGAGGGCCTTGGCACACTTGCATCCAGGCAGTCTTGTGCGATGGGCGCACATAGCATCGGGGAAAAGCAGAACTCCATCCTCACCTCTATTTTGAGCTTAGTGCTTTATTTCAGTATGAGGGAAAACAACAACACACTGAAGTGTGCTTTCCGTCCTTGCAAAGGACAACTTTCAGGAAAGGAGAGTGGAGGTGCTGGGTGGGAGGGGAGACTTGGCAAGGAGAGAAATGGATGTCGTGGCAGAGTCAGGAAAAGAGACATTCTTGCCTCTTCTCTTCCCTGGTGTGCCATGATCCAGGGAATGAAAAGAAATTTGACCCTGGACTAGTCCCTTTGTTGGAGTTAAGGAACATTACCTTTCCACAAGGTCCCCCTGGGATAGGATGGCTGTCACTCTAAGCTCAGGGCAGCCTCTTCAACTTCTGTCAGCCCAACCTGGATTGTTAGGAAACCAACCCCACCCCTCAGCATTGGACCTGACTGCTTTGTGTGGAACCAAGTATTGGAGAAAAGGCATCAGATCTTAGCAGCTCCTGTAACTCCTGCTCTTTCCTATCCCTCAGAGGCCAGGCTGACTTTGTGGCCACACCGTGCATTCACATCAGTGCTTGGCAAGGTATACTCAAGGGGCTTGGAACCTGCTGGCCAGGGAAGCAGTAGGGGTGGATAGAGCTGTCTTTCCTTCTGGGCTGTCTCCATCGGTCTCTACCCTTTCCATGCCCCACCCCACTCCCACCAAAAAAGTAAAAAAATCAGGATGTTTTTCACTGTCCATTGCTTTGTGTTTTAATAAACAATTTGCAGTGATACTCTGTGTTGAGATTGAATTTTAACTCACAAAGATGGTGATGTTTGGCAGCACATACTTGTCATCCCAACACTTGGGAGGATCAGGAATTGAAGACCATACCCAGTTGAATAGTGAGTGTGGACCCACCCCAACCCCCCAAAATGAACAGTGAGATGGTTTGGCTGCCACGAAAACTGATAACCTGGGTTTGATCCCTAGATTGTGGAAGGAGAGAACTGACCTCTTCACACATGGCTGTGGTACCTCCCCAATAGATAAGTTAGTGTAGGAGGTAATATGGGAAAAGGAAAGGGTGACCAAGGAGGCTTAAGGGAATGATATTCTTGGCCTGGGACTGGCAACAGGGCACAGCAAGTAAAGGTCCCTGCCACCAAGCCTAATGACTTGACTTAGATCCTGGAGCCCCATTTAGGAAGGAGAGAACCATAAAGATTAGTCTTGCTTAACTGCCTCAGCCAGCAGTGCACTTCAGGAAAAATCAGGTTAGCCTGTTTTCTTTTAATCTGACCGCAATACCCAGCTCTGACTTGGCACATGGGCCTTCATCTGTGTCTTCTAGTCCTGTACTGTCTATTGGGAGGTGACCTATACATGAAGCCATAGGATGTTTCTCTTGAGTTCCCCTTTCCTGACAGGCGGAAGAATAGAACGCAGGAAGAATTTGTTTTCTCTCTCAGCTCTGTTTTGTACAAGTTCAAAATGTCAATAATTTGCCTCAGGCTGATTAGTGAATGGTCAAGCCATGACTTAGACCCGTCTTATCTACCATCAATGACCACACTCTTTCTTGGGCTAGACTAATCATAGCTGTCCCCAAGTGAGCCTTTAAAATGGGCTGGGCACAGTGCCAAGCTCTTTACAGATGGTCTCTGCCCTACACTCTCCTCTTTGAGAGTGACTGGCCCAATGCCACTCAGCAAGAAAAAGACAAACAACAAAAACCGAACATGACTCTTGATTGGTTTATTTACTTTGTATCAGGTCTCACCATGTACCAGGCTGGTCTCTGACTCAGAGCTCTGCTCGCCTCTGCCTCCTGAGTGCTGGGATTAAGTATGACCCCCAGGCCAGTCAGTGATAGCACACACCTGTTATCTCTGTGAGTTCCAGGCCAGTCTGGTCTACGGAGTGAGTTCCAGGACAGCCATAACTGTTACACAGAGAAGCTCTGGCTCAAAAAACACAACATGGGCAGGGAACACATGTGGCCACCGTGCCTAGCCCTAGACTCTGCACTGCTTTCCATTTCCCCAGAATGCTGTGATGTGTCTCCAGAACATACCTGCTGTTTCTCCAAACGGGAATGAAGTTTCCCATCCATGTGTGGTGAAGGAGTTTGTCCTGCCTGATGGGTTGTCTTTCAATGGCAGAATTCAGTACTGTGCTCCAAGAATAAAGCTGGTGTTGATGGAGCCTGTTCCCAGGACCCAGAGAGACTCTGGGTGAGCCCACCCAAAGGTAGAGAGAGCTTTGTACTAATTCAGAAGTAGGTGTTACTATTTAAGTGACATATGGGAGTGACCTGCCACTTGGGGACATGGAAAAGCTCTACTCTAGGGACTTAACAGGGAGGGAAATTGCCTGACAGAAGATCTTGGGCCAAGTGCTGCTGTTGGGTTGGAGCACTCTCTGTGGGTCTAGATACTAATCTTACTTAGGAAATCAGGTTCCCGGTTGGCTGGAGCCTGTGTGTCAGACCTTCCTCCTTACTACACACACACACACACACACACACACACACACACATACACCTCATCCTCCATAGGGGGAGACACACACACACACACACACACACACACCCCTCATCCTCCATAGGGGGAGAGGTGATACTCTCAACACTTACTGGAAAGTTTCTTGAAGCAACAATAGGGAGTCAAGACAAAGGGGGTGGAGCACAGAGACTTTGGAGTTGGCAATCCTAAGAGTCTTAATTTTGTTTGTTCTTAGCCACATGTAGTAGTAAAAAGTAAACCCCCTTCCTCTTTGGCTCAGGCCTTGTACTAAAAATTGTTTGAGGCCAAGTGGTGCCTCAAGCCTCTAATCCCAGCATTTGAGAGGCAAAGGCAAGTGGGTGCATCTCTGTAAGTTGGAAGTTTGAGATCAGCCTGGTCTATGTAGTGAGTTCCAGGCCAATTAGGGCTATATATAATGAGAGCTCAATAAATAAATAAAATTAAGAACATTTTAAAAAAAGAAAAAGAAAATCCATGAAAAGAAAGAATTGCTATTGTTTTGAGCTTCCTTCCGGCCTTCATTTGAATCTGTGGTGTCTCTGAGACCTAGCCCCAGCCCCAGCGGGTTCTACCTACCAATAATTGATGTGCCTGCATCCTCCCATCCAACTCCAAGTTCTCCCTCTGTCTTTGGAGAGGGCCCTGGGGAAGGACCATTTCCTGGATCCTCCCTGGCATTTGCACAGCTGTTTGCTCCTGTTTTACATTTTGTCCTCTTAACTTTGGGGCTATGCTGACTGACAGAACCAAGGACTCAGATTTAGGGGAGAGATAGCATACCCAAAAGTCCCACAGCTGCTAGGTGGTTCTAACTGACCCTAGGACCCAAACTTTCTAATTTTTTGAAACAAAAATTAGCTGTGTAGCCTAGGCTGGCTTTGAACCTGCGATCTTCCTGCCTTCACCTCCCAAGTGCCCACCTCAAACCTGTACTTTTTTTGGGGGGGGGTTGAGATGGTTTCTTTGTGGCTTTGGAGGTTGTCCTGTAGAGCAGGCTGGCTTCAAACTCATATCCTCCTGCCTCTGCCTCCTGAGTGCTGGGATTAAAGGCGGGCGCCACCAATGCCCGACCATGCTGATATAATTTTTAAAGCATGAAAGCTATGATCACATGGAGATGTGTATGTGTATGTGGGTTGTGTGTGTGTGTGTGTTTTGTTGACAGTTATACTCTGTAGTCCAGATTAGCCTGGAATTTACTGTATATCCATGGCTAGCCTCAAATTCTCAGCAGTCCTGCCTCAACCTCCTAATTACAGGGAAATAGTCTTTTTCATCATAAAAAGGTAACTTTGGGCCAGCAGTGGTGGAATACACCTTTAATTCCAGCACTTAGGAGGCAGAGGCAGGGAAATCCTGAGTTTGAAGTTATCCTGGTCTGCACAGCAAGTTCCAGGATAGCCAGGGCTATACAGAGAAATCATGCCTTGAAAAAAAAAAAAAAAGTGTTGGGGGGTAACTTTGGCTGGAGAGATGGCTCACAGGTTAAGAGTATCTGCTGTTCTTCCAGAGGGCACAGGCTTGGTCCTTAGCACCCATATGGCAGCTCACAGACATTTGTAACTCTAGATCCATGGAATCTGGTTCCTCCTTCTGGTCTCTGTGGGCACCAGACATTGCAAGTGATGCACAGACATGCATGCAGACAAATACCCACAGACAGAAAACAAAAGATTTAAAAGAAAGTAACCTTTTAGCCAGGCGTTGGTGGCGAACACCTTTAATCCCAGCACTAGGGAGGCAGAGGCAGGTGGATCTCTGTGAGTTCGAGAGCAGCCTGGTCTACAAGAGCTAGTTCCAGGACAGCCTCCAAAGCCACAGAGAAACCCTGTCTCGAAAAAAAAAAAAAAAAAACAAGAAAAAAAAAGTAACTTTTTAAGACTTGGTGATACAAAAGTATATGATACAGGGGCTGAGGAGATGGTTCAGTGGGTAAAGTGTTTGTTGTAGAAGCACAGGGTTCCCCAGCATTCTGTGAAAGCCAGTAGTGGTGCTGTACACTTGTAATCCCATGCTGGTGGTGCAGGCAGGTGGGGGATCTGTGTGAGTTCAAGGCCAGCCTGGTGTACAAGAGTAAGTTGCAGGAGGGCCAAAGCTACAGAGAAAAACCCTGTCTCAAAAACAAACAAACAAAAAAACAAAACCAGAGGCTGCAGAGATGGCTCAGCGGTTAAGAGCACCAGCTGCTCTTCCAAAGGTACTGAGTTCAATTTCCAGCAACCACATGGTGGCTCACAACCATCCATAATGAAATCTGGTGCCCTCTTCTGGCTCGCAGGCAGAACACAACAAAAAGGGGCTTAACGGTTTCCGAGGATTTGAGTCCATGACTGTCATGGCAGGCGACATGCAGTGGCACTGGAACACTGCAGCAGTAGTTGAGAGCTCACCTCTTCTTTTGTCCTTTTCCTTTTTTTCTTTTCTTTTTTTTTTTTTTTGCGACAAGGTTTCTCTGTAGCTTTGGAGGCTGTCCTGGAACTAGCTCTTGTAGACCAGGCTGGCCTTGAACTCAAGAGAT